CGAATACCAGTTCTTCATCACCTCACACGAAATAGGGTGAATACATCTCATATTACTGATTTACTGGTAGTCTCGAAACTATATTTACATACGAAAAATATTCTGCTCATATACGCGAATTTAAACAGCCAACATTTTGTGAGAAAACGAATCCCATCTTGCGTCCACTGAAGTACCGTGATTTTTGGCCTAGCTTGTCTTGAAATTCATCGCTGCTCTCTGACCGACTGGCACTCGTGACAGTGTGCTAAAATGATACGCTGCAGTGAACAAATTCGAGTTCCGCTTGCACGGCTGATGAAACCAAGGCGAGGTCAAAATCGCAGCTCGCAGCGAAGACTAAATCTGTTTGGAGACCAGGATTAGTGAAATTCAATGGAATATTGATGCTCACTCGTCTCATTGTGGGACATTCACCATCATTTCTGCATCATCTTGCACGACTTGTGCTGATTAAGGCTCTCATTAAAAGATGTATCAAAGGTGTCGAAACTTACTGCCTGTGAATACAAGTAACCGCGTCGATTGTAATGGCAACATAAAAACTGGCCTCGTCAACAATCCCACCATCCAATGTGATTGGAGAGAGTTCTGACTTGCCTCGAAAGTCACGACTACCTTGTCATCGAGTGGCATTTGTGTGGTGATGTGTCGAAACGACATGCTACCGCAATTTGGGTTAGATCGGGAAGAAAGACTAAATGATATTTAATGACATGCTGAGGGAAAAATCCATCTATCAGTCCTACATCACCTTGAGCAACCTAAACTGCCTAGAGCCGTTAACTGATAATCTCAAAATCCTACTAAAACGAAAACGTGGATTACACCAAATAGCCATTGACTCAACTTGCAACCCTTCAACTTGTTCCCTCAGGCCAATGGCTTCCACAGTCTGGCACCACTCCAAGTCGTCCTCTTGGCTTGCCTCCTTGCCTCACCCTCCTCATTCTCTTCGGGCCTCGCTGCTCCATTGGCCTGGCCGCATAAATTGTGCCGCCCAGTCTGACAGAGGCAGCAAGATAACCTTTTCTTGGACAACCGGGCGGACATAGATTGACTGCTGCCTCTAAATTGGCTGCCAGGGCTGCCAGGGCTGTCAGGCCAGTGTGCCCTTTTAGCATAGAAGGCCAGCCCTCGAGACCAAGTTGACTGCGCCGCCACGAAAATGGCGTCGCGATGACAACGAGGGTGACCTAAACTGGGTTGGCTGAAGCACCCAGGCGTGTGCTTGTTGCAGACTATGCGTCTGAGTGTCTGTCTTTAAGCATTGACCTACAACTAGGTGTCTCAGTCAGTGTATGTGTGTATTTGTATGTATGTATCCGTATGTGTGTGTCTCTGTGTGTATATTTGTGTGTGTAAAGGGAAGTCATGTCTGTCTGATATCGCATTTGCATGTCTGAAGGTGTGTATGAATGTGCACATATTATCGTGTGAAGGTGTGTGAAAAAGTTAGAGAGTATGACACTTCGTAACTGACCGAGAGGGTTATGTTTGCATCCGTTCTGAAGCCAGTTTTCGAGTGACCGACACGCGATAAAACAGGTCGTTCCGTGGCAAGGTGAAATGGACGTTAGGTTGTCCCGACGCCGGTTTTGGTCTTGACTGGGATCCCAAAATTTAGATGGCACTACTCTCTACCTACCTCTCACCTTCAAACCAGCCAGCCAGCCAACCAGCCAGCCAGCCAGCATCGGTTCGGATAATAATAAAATCTTAATGATGGCCGCAAGAACAGTCACATCTGGCAGATGAATGATGAGGGTGAAGATTAGCTAAATCGACTGGCCTAGTAACAATGAGACTATGCGGCATGCGAAACACGAGACCGGATCGGATAGTTACTGCTCGAGGCCGCTGAAAGCAGGCATTCCGACGCCGATACGAAAAGGCGACCGTTCATCTTAGCATACCCTATCCCCTGGTTTCGTGGTCCTGTCCATCCAAGCTTGGCCAGATTTTGCCTATCTGGAGTTCGGGAAGATGCTATAAACTGGTTCAACACACGCGAAGAAGAAAAGAATACCATTTATGAGGCAATAATAACTTAAGAAGTGGGTTCACCTCGTTGTCGCAACTTGGTCTTGTGGTCAGGGGACCATGTAGAACGCACCTAATCCCAAGTCGTCTGCCATAGTAGTTGTCATGATTCCC